TACAGTAACGTAACGTGCACTTGCGTAATAACGTAACATGCAACGATTACACGAACTGATTTACTGATCTTCGCATTCTTTTACCTCTTACTCGCGATACCATATTTATTTGCCACGTCATATAATACAAGGGAGAGAAAGAGAAAGGATACATGGAAATTATATATTGCGTTAATTATAATTCTATAAATCGCACGCTCATATAATCCTAAAGTACAGAGTGCAACAATGCATCGTAGACCAATGTAAGAATCCGCCACTTCTCTGAAAACGCTCGCAAACAGAGAATTGGCAGAGCGTAGCTGCATAAAACAGCTCTTTCTCTCTTCTTCTTTCTCCCTCACTCCTGTCTCTCTTTCCCCATCTCGTTTTCTCCCACGTCGAGACTCAGGTCGTTTCTCTCCCGGCCAACGACCGTCCACCTTCAGTTTTGTACCCTTCCAGACAGCACGCGCCTTATACGTCGACAGGTAGATGCAACGTTCGAGATATATACGCGTCCAGGGTGGTCTGACGATAAGGACCAACGATCGAGCGGAAAACTATCTGGTCGACGTTATTGTTTAGAGCTGCGCTTTATGGATCGTGTTTATACGTATAAAACTTTTGTCCAGTTCTCTAAATCCAAATTGATTAAATTCGATTAAATAAAAATTTCATTTACGTTTGTGCCACTTCTAGTTTTTTTTATTAAATTATACATTCGCAAATTAAATCAAATGAGTTCACAAAAAAAGGTTAAGAAATCATATGTATGTACAACATTAGTATATATTTTAGTTATAAATATAAATAATATTGACTCACTTTATTTTCTTAAGATTCTATTTCATGTAAATATTTTTTGAATTCAAATATTAAATTATAGTAAATAAATGTAGAGAAAATAGATGTAGAGTTGAAATTTTTTACATAAAATTTTTAATCCAATATAATAAATAATATTAATGCCTAAATTTGAGAATGATTGCAAGACAGTTAAAAATTAAAATCCAATTAATTTAATTGATGTGTGTGACTGTAAATAAGTCTTTAATATTCTGTACAAATCGACAATATCTCTTTACATTCGTCAAATATTTATCTTTAAGCATTTACAACAACGAAAATATATGTTTCCAATAATGTCCCCGATACTTCTCTCTCACAATACTCTAGTCTCTGTACTTCCATTCATCCGGTTTATTCTTTACATCGGCTTTTCTCAATTGATCCCTCATGTATAATTTTGTACCTTAACTCCTTCTTATTTCTCACATCTTACTCCAGTTGCACGCGAGAGCGAATCGCGATTAGACAAGAAGAGAACCGCGGACAGAAGGGTACAAAGAAAGAGGATAGAAATGGCGAAGGAAAGGAAGGGGACAAGAGGACGGAGTAGATCGGGCCCTTTTGCAAAAAGCGGCGTCCAAAGTGTCGGCCGACCGGTTCCACGCGCGCATGTACCTGTCACGTATATCCCCTTAAATGCGGCGCTAGAGAAAGAGAAAGACACAGACAGACGGAGAGAAAGAGCGCACATGTGTGTCGAACACACGAATGGAGCAACGGCGCGCGCACTTATACCGATGCGCATGCACGCGCGAGCGTAGGCGACGTCTTATATAAGGTGTCCAAGAATTGACAGATAAGTGGAATCTCGAAATCGAGTTTTTTCTTTGAACCTGTCAGAGAATTAATTAAGGCCCCTGTGTCCTCACTGCGACCAAATTGAATTATAATGTCAGAAGGAAAAAAATTATAATTTTATTGCGAAATACATGGAAATAATTTTTTTTTTTTAATACGATCATTCTCATGTTCGATAATTAATTAGATAGAAATATTTCGAAAACTTTTTTTTATTCGTGAATTAATAAAAAATCAGCCTTTCGCTGAAAATAAATTTTATAGTAGGTACTCTTGATCAAGAGATATTTATTTTTAATAATTGCACAAAATGTATAATTATTTATTAATTTGAATTTAAAAAAGTTTTCGATATATATTTTATTAATTCATATTATCGAACACGAGTACGGAAAAAAAAAATTTATTTTGATATACTTCGCAAGAATAAACTCATGATTTTTCAGTTCTATATTGAAAAAAAGAATTTGTTAACTTGGCTAAACCTTTCAACTAAATATTATTTTGTTAATTAAACATATAAAATATTTTATTAAATATAATATTAAATCTAACAAAATCTATATTTTACTTAAATACAAATCACACAAAATAGTAATTTAGTTGAAAGTTTAGTCAATTAACAATTCTTTTTCTTTCAGTGTGACGTTATAATTCAGTAGGTATGTGTACGTGAGGTCAATAAGCAGGGACAAGCCTTAATAACGACATATTATTCATCATCCAATTTACTTTCCTAGCTTTCCTTTATTACCCTCGCGAGAGGTTCTATTTAAGATTTGACTCGTATATATATATATATACAATAATATCAAAGTCTCAATAATCAAAATTTAAAGAGATCAGTAAATTTTCATTATAGAAAAAAATGTGTCTCACCAAATTGTTTTCCGGAGAAGCGCTCACAGAATTATTCGTCAGAAGCTATCGAGACACCTTATATATCCACATTCACAAAGCGCATACAGACGAAACACACGCGCGCATACGTGCATGCACACGCACTCGCACATACATACATACATACATATATAGGTAGAAAACCTGCATGTACAGCGAACCGGTTCGTGTTTATAACAATAAACCGTCGACGAGGCCACGACGTTAACCGTCGAGGAAACCCTTTCTCTCTCGTAGGGCCATCACTCGCCATAGCTCGTTCGTGCTCGCGAGCGAAAGAAAGAGAGAGACTCGATGTATACCGCAAAAGCAAATGTACTCACATCTTAATGCCCGGTGGCGGACCACATTCGTGGGCAGGAGAAGGACGTTCCGTGGCTGGATGTAAGTAGGTATCGCGATTGTCGTCGCCGCCGCTCCCGGCTGCTGCTTCGCGCGTATTATCCGCGAGATACGTCACTGTATCGTGATCCGTTCCCTCCTGCCACCCCGTGTCGGCAGGGATATCGTCACTCGCGTGAACGGCCGCACACAGGTATCGTACTACCACTACTACAACTTACATGTACACTACTACTTATACGCGCACTCCCGAACTCGTTCGCTCGGCCAGGTTCGCAACGTCGTTCGTTCGTTCGTTCGGATGGACGGCAACCCGTCCGTTCTCTCGCTTGGAAAACGCGAAGGTGAGAGAAACCAGCCGGGTCGGTCCGGGAAGCGCGCAGACACGCGAATTTCGAGAAACGCTCGACGTCTCGCCCGTAAAAAAACGCGGATGCACGTTTACGCAGCGCGTTGCACGCGCGCTCCGACACGCAGAACGCCGAAAATCCCGAGCAGAATATTGACAAATACCTCGGCGTCGCGCGACACTGTCGTCGCCTGCCTGTCTCGCCGCGGACTCGCTCGCGCCACCGCGCGGCCGCTGTCCTAACTAACACAGACCGGCCATGTTCTGTCATCGATCAAGTGTGTTGCAAGAGATTCGCGCGGGACGGAATTTCATGATAACCCGGGAAATGCGATATGATTGATGGTCGATAACATCGCTAGCGTGCTTATAGATATTGGAGAAAGAGAGAGAGAGAGAGCGAATTCAAATATTTATACAATTATTTTTAGAGTCATAATATGAGAAAAATTGGAATTTAATATATTAACATTATATATACTTTATAATTATATTGACATGAATAAATAATGTTGACATTAGTTTAATAATAAATATATTAATTGAATAATTAATTAATTGATTTAATTAAATAATATTGACATTATTTAATATATGTACAGACGATGTCAGTAATAGGTAAAAGTGCGGTGCGAGAAACATTGCTGAAAATAAATAACAAATAAATCACTTGCCATGTAGTTGCTCTGATGTCGCCCGAAGCCACCCTGGGCCTCCTTCCTCCTCGAAGATGAAGCACTTGCACTTCGAAACACTTGCACTCGCGTTACTTTTTTCATTTGCGACGAGCGGCGACGTCCGGGTTTGATCTGTCACATTTTCGACGAGTTTAAACGCGAGAGCTTATTCGCGCACGAAACCGATGCTCCATTATCACGTCGCCGCTTTCCTCAAGGTCACTCATCGGAAGACCTGATGTCGAACAACGAAGGTGACTTCTCCGCGACGCACTCGGAAGTCGCCGATATTCCAGAATTGGAACTACACTTCACTGTATGTTTTTTATCTCACAGAACTCGACGATGTCGCGAAAACACTGTCACTCGTTCGGCGGAAAATTCTTCGGCGACAACGAGAAAATGGCGGCCCGGCCATTGCCGGACTCGACCCGATTTTCACGAAGAATACGAGCTTTATTCGTAGCGTGCCGATGCTCGGGCACGATGACACGGAAGTACGACCGGAAACGCGCAATCGCCTTTGTAGAATACACGCGAGAACGCTGAAAAACTCGGAAATTTCGGCGTGGAAAGAGCCCGGTCCCCGCGATCCGACTCCCGTGACCTTCCCGCGCGAACTGTTGATAGAGGCTGTGACGCAGCTGTGACGTAGCCGTGACGCAGCTGTGACGTAGCTGTGACGTAGCGCGCGCTTGGGAGAAGGAACGTTGAGCGAGATTCTGGGCCAAATTGACGCGATGGATTTCGCGCGATTGAGACGTCAGGACACGCGACACGATCGAATCTGCGTATTAATTAACGACGCGAACACGCTAATTAAGACGCACGCTCGTACTTTTCGCGTAATTTCGGTGATTCGCTAATTAATGTATTCACATTCGCGTACTTGCACGGACCGATGTTAAACCCGCGACCGTTGATTGCGAACAATCGAAAGTTTATCAGAGGGCACCAGCATTCTAAACTGTGTGTTCGGAAATGTATTCACCCAGAGTGACGCGATTGACCAATCAGGACAAAGATCCTCGGTTTCTGATTGGTCGATCAAAACGCTGTCACAATTGCAATGTCAAGAATTAAATAATCAAGTGGACAATCTATGTATTTATTTAATCATTGACAGCTGACGGTATATCGCGCCTTTACTGTGTGTCGTTGCATACTGCTTGTTATTTTATTTTTCTTCCTGAATATATATTGTATATTTATTAATATAAGTGACAGAAAGATCATTTTAATATCTTGGTAAGTAGTGCATTAATATATGCTGTATCAAAATCTGGTGAATTTAGTGCGTTTAATGTAAATATTATATGTACTGGCTTGCAAAATACATTCACATTAAATGTTTATATCGGAGGGAGGGGTTCATATTTTTTTTCATATTAGATTTTGAAGAGAGGAATTGATTAAAATTCTAAAATTACTATTTAATTGTTGAATAATAAAATATCAAGTTTTTATGTATGTATAAATCTGTGTTTGACAATATATATGTGCTAATATATCTAATACTCATGTATTTTTCCAAATCAGGCCAAATAATGGATAATATCTTTGGGAAGGAAGATTCTGGAGAGGAGAGCGAACATAACATCGAGCATGATATCGAGGAAAAAGATGATAAGAACAGTCCTACACAAAATTCAGCATCTAAAGATAACGAAATCATGGAAGTTGATGGTGTACAAGTCAAGGTATATATATTATTGAACAAATTAAATTTCTATTTGTACATATTTTTAATATATTTTATATTAGTAATAAAGTATATATTTTTAATAGATTTATTTCATATTATAGGTAGAATCTGATGCAATGAGTTCACAGTCACAATCAGATGTAGAAGAGAATGAAATTACAGGATCAAGTTCTGCATGCCCAATTGTGATAGAAGAAGTAGAAATTGTGAAACAGGAAATTGTGAAGGAAGAAGAACAAATTGTGGAAGATATATTTGGTAATGACATTTTGTTACCTCGTGCAAATCCAGTCAGTACAAAAGAAAGAAGGGAAAGTAAAGAAAAAAGCAAGAAAGAGCTAGAAGAAGAAGAACGAGAAAAGATGCAGTATGTATATGATATTTGAATGTAGATTTGAGATGTGTATATTGCTTTGAGAATATGTTAATAATCATAGTATTGCTTTTATAGGGTATTAGTATCCAATTTTACTGAAGATCAGTTAGACAGATATGAGATGTATAGACGATCAGCATTTCCAAAGGCTGCTATAAAAAGGGTATTGCCTTTAGTTTTAAGTATTATTAGTCAAAAAAATCTATCTATTCTTCATTTTTAAAAGTTTATATTATATATTTTAGTTTTCTATATATATTATTTTAATTATATATATATATATATATATATGTTTCAGATTATGCAAACTATAACAGGCTGTTCAGTATCGCAGAATGTTGTCATAGCTATGTCAGGAATCGCCAAAGTATTTGTTGGTGAAATTGTTGAAGAAGGTATGAACTTTCTATGTAAAATGTAGCATTAGATTATTAGAATTTAATACTAAATTATTCCTTTAAATATAGCTTTAGATGTTATGGAGACTCAGAATGAAACTGGCCCATTACAACCAAAACATCTGAGAGAAGCTGTTCGCAGATTAAGGCTACAAGGTCAAATACCAAATGGTCGAGCGCACAAAGCTTTCTTTAGACTATAATTGATCCATATTTATAGTATATTAGTGCAATACATTTTCTCAGATAAAATTCTATCAATATTGAATTTTGAAAATCTAATCTAATCTAATGCGTAGTTTAAATCTAATTTATATATATATATAAATAACATGTTATATAATTATATAATTATACTATTATATAATTATATAATTTGTAAACAATTGTTGCACTAATTATATAATTGTAAATAAATTATATAATTTATCAGGAACCAAACAGATTTTCTGCATGTCTTCAAAAGTGATATTTTTTGCATATCTTTGCAAAACTACTATTTGTTTTTATATTAAAAACATACCATTAGTATATTCTCAATCAATATATTAAATTTATTAATCTTTTATAAACATATAATTTTACTGACGACTAATTTATTATTTACGTCTTCAAATTAGAATATAAGCCGAATGTACTTATATATACTGTATGTATAATAATGTAATATATTTTTATATTATCAACACATCTTTTTGATATATAAAATTAAAAATATAGTGAACCATCAAAATGTACATATAAAACGGATAATAGCAAAATATTTTATTATAAATTGCGCGTACACAAATACAATTATCTATATATAATATATAATATAAACAGATATTTATATTTATTTAATTTTATTTTGATTGCTATGATACTTATTAAGGAATTATTTGCAGTTTATAATTTTTATAATATACTTTTCGAAATAATTGATGTAATATTTCATTATCACATATTTGTTATCATAAGATTAACACGCTATATTATGTAAATTTTATTAATTTAAATATTTAGATTTAGACATATCAGTACTATCGAGATTCTACACTGTGAATTATAGGCAAACATTTTTTATCGATTATTGTATGTGTCCATAATCATGCGAGAATCCAAAATATGATATGCAAGTATTACTTACATTAATATTGCTGTATAATATTTATTTTGGATGTATGATTTATAAAGTATTTACATTTCCAAAATTCTACACCGTTAAGACATTTGCGATTAACGTGCCGGAAAAGGACGTAATTTTATCAATTACTGATTTGAATAATGAATCTCGAAGGTAAAATTGCGCGAAGTTACACGTCATTGAAAAGCTATTATCCGTATATATTACGATATGCAAAACGGTATTGTAATAAACTTGTAAATTTCTTCATTCTTTTATGGATGGATTGCAATGTACGAACATCTCGTCGTTTTGCATACCGCAAGAAATCAATTTCTTGGTCATGTCATAAAAGAGGAATAAATATTCTCACCTCAACGTAGAATACTTGTCAATATGATTTATTCAATAGTTTGTATTTCAGCAATGAAAGAAGAAGTTATTATTTAGACATTTATTCGCGATTGTGTCATCTTCCCATCCGATTTACAGCAAATAACTCTGAACAGGTTCGCGAAATAGGAAGTGCAAAATTTATACGCGTATATTTCAATTTTAAGACAGATTTCTATTTACATCACAAACATATATATATATATATATTTTTTTTTTTTCGTGCTAATATCTCTCATGCCTTAGATAAAAATTATAAAGTTAATGCAACAATGTTATTGCAAAAATGCAAGGAGAGATTCACATCTGTGCTTTCGCACGGGCACTAGTAGAATGCATCAGCGAAAGTTGCTCGGTTACGAGCGAAATTTTTCTGCACATCTCATAAGGCATCGTAAATCTAACGGGATGCATCCAGATGTTATCACGACAACAAGAGGAACACGATTAACGAAGAGGAAGCACAGAATCGCTCCAAGAGACATTGAACCGACTGATAAAAATATAGGTAAAATAGAACACATTGACTTTAATTTAATTTAATTGATAACACACTCTGCAAAAATGTGGTCAAATTAAATTGAGTAAGAATAAGACATTTATTTTTGATTAAATATATGCATATATATTCAATTTTAAAATTGCATAGGTATTAATTTTGGAAGATAAATTCTAATCGATTCTTTTTAATTATTTTCTTTGCATAAAATTCGAAGTAAAAGGCAATGTTAAATAAATTCTATATTCTCTCATTTTTTCCCTTGCAGATTCGGAAGCATGGGACAATTGGAGTAATTGGAGCACATGCAGCGTGACTTGTGGACAAGGACGACAAGTTCGTTGGCGTCATTGTTTGTCCGAAAATTGCATCAAAGGTCTCAAGAAAGCGCAACTGAAAGGTTGTCGTCTTAAGGATTGCGATACCAAAGGATTTCTCGGTTGGCTCGGAATAAAATCTTGATCTGTGTAAATTTCAAAGGTGAAGAATATTTTCCCAATATGCATATATTATGCGTATATATATATATTGTGTAATACAAAAAATACATTTTAATAATCTTAAAAGTGTTGTGTATGAATAAGAAATTTTTATTTTATTTTATATTGCGATATAAATAACGTTTCTGTTACTCGAAATAAAACCTCGATCAGAAAAAAATGCAAGTATATATTAGTGTTTTAATTCGTAAAGATTTTTTTATCCATTTGTAAAAAATTAGATTTTATAAAATTGCATTTATTAACACGAGAAATGGAATTAAAATATTTATTTGCAAAGCAAAATGATAGACGTACATATATTGATATATTTATAAGAAGTTTAAATACTATATATAAAAATTGAATAATTTGATAGTCTTTTATTCGTTATATAGTATAGTATATACGAATTAAATAAAATGACATTGGTATGATGCAAACTTGAATAATTGTGATAGCTGTGACAATTATGATAATTTTACACATAATTTTATAGAAAATAAAATTGATAATACGAAAAGTTATATTAATATGAATCGAATTCAATTAATTTCAGCTCACTTTGTCATATTCTTGTTTTTTATGGGTAACTGCTGAAATATTTCATTAACTTTTTAATAATGTAATAATTTTTTTTTTAATTTTAGCATTCAAGAAAGCTACTCCGGAGAGTGACAAAATATCGTCAAATAATATTACTCCTACTCTTTCAAAAAGTGATCTCACAAACAAACTCGAGATAAAATTGAATAGACTCCGACGTAAAAATTACAATTCGGATCGCTATACTAATGATGATCACAAAGAGGATGACAACATTCGGAGACAGATAAAACGAGCAGGTAAACCATTTTGATTGTACATAAAATTTTATATTTATAATTAAAAAGTATAATTAAAGAGATTATAATATAGAGAAAAATATAATTAACTAGTAGGCAGATTTAAATAGTCCATATATTTGAATTTGACTTTTAAAACTGTGCAATAAATATAAGATTTTATTATATAGTTACTAATTTATTCTTCATTGATACCTGTCACGTAGTTACATGCAATTACACGTAATATCAGACAAATAAACAGAATGGCATGATAATCCAATGTGTGATAGGATAATGAAGACTGCAATCTAGCTGAGATTATAGTGCAATGCAATTATACTGCGTGCAACATGCGCATTGCACGAGATATAGTAAATAAATAAATAAGAGTGGGCGTGAAGTCGTGACCGCAAGTCATCGTATACACTCGGCATCAGGCTTTCTCCAAGACCGGTTCGAGATTTACCTTCTCGCAATACCGATTATCGAAATGCACATAAACATTTGGGCCGGTTGTTGGAAATTTCTGTGGTCTGCTTGACTGGAATGTTTTTTTTTTCCTTTTTGCAATTTCTACGGATTGAAATTCTTGTCGATATTAACAAAACTTTTTATAACTGGAATTCAACGTATTTTTATTTATTTATTTCTCTAATATGTTTTTATCCAAGAACGTTATTTCGGTACTTAATCATAACCGATAGAATTTGATTTGACCCATATTGAAGGACACCCGGTGAAAGGAAGTCTCATATAATAACCATAAAGTTAAAGCGGTGAATGGAAGTTTCTATAGGAAGCGTTTGGTTGAAATGTTTTCTTTTAATTTTTAACCTAACCCTCCCATTGGAGAACGAACGAGTGAAAGTTATCACGCATGAACACAACATTTGGAAATATAGTGGAAATTTCCATAGGATGTTCGCGGTTAAATATTTTCTTTTTCACAAAATAAAGACGAAAACAATATAAAACCTTTTATAAATTAAAAATTTACAATATTAATTTTCTCTGATTGCAAAATAAATGTTCTTAAATTCTTTTATTAATCTACAATTTATATCTGTGTAGAAAAGATGGTATTTCATTAATTTTAATTTAGTTATTAAAATTTGATATGATCCACGAATGCAATTATAACTAGTGCGAAAAATTATGTCGACAGGCAAAAATGATAGAAAACCGAAAATATGGGATCAATGGGGCAATTGGTCTACATGCAGTGTTACTTGTGGAATAGGAAAAATTACGAGATGGAGGCATTGTATAAGTGGAAGTTGTTCCTTAGGAGAGAAGAAAGCTCAATTAAAAACTTGCACTTCTGCAGCATGTTAAAATATTCTGAATAGACAAGATAGCTGTATAAGAATAATATATATAATAACATTATTAATAAAAACAAATATATTTTTATTTCTGGAAATTGTAAGGTGTATTTTATTAATTATATTATAATTGTACTAGTATTTTATACTTTATATAATGCAAGGCATAACAGAATTTAAATACATTTTTAGAAAATTTGAGAAGAGGAGAATTAAATAATCTTTTTATAACATTTCTCTAAAATCTAAGAATGTAAAAATGAAATAATGTCATTGTATAAATAATGATTGCACTAACAATAAAAAACAAATATATATATAAAATCTTATGAGTTAAATAGCTATTATTTCTATGATATGAACAGCTAATACATAACAGAAATTAAAAAATCATCAAATTTGTCCAATGTTCACAACTTTTGTTTCATAGTTGTATATTTAGATATTACTGATTTACTTAAGTTTATATTTTTCTGAATTTAATCCAATAGCAGATATTCCATATTCCAAACCTTTTTCATATGCAAGTTGTATTTTATTCTTTTGAAAATAGTCATCAGACTTGTAAATTACTGGTGATTTATATATTGACACCGTATTTGATACCACAGGTTCTTGAGTTTTTTCTGAAATATAAAAAAAAACTGATCAAATTCAAGTTTTTTACATAAGAAATTACTGCGTAACTTTAATACAAGAAAAATATATGAATTTCATATACTTTTATGTATGTAAAAAGAGAATATAATTATTTTTAATAATACATTATACAAAAAAGATTTCTCCAAGTTACTTACAAAAAATGATAAAGGGTTTAGTATCCCAAATAATCTATCTGATACACCTAATTCTGTTTCTGCCTTATCTACAGTGGCTTCTAGTGAACTTAAATTCATATTGGCCATTGCGACAACATGCTCCAATGCATCTATTCTTCTACAAAGACTGGTCATACCATCCTTCATGTATTGTAATTTTGGAAGATGCTGCTGTATGCACTCTGCACTGCCATTCTCCACTTACAGAACAACAATGTGTTTAAAATATGGATTAGTACTAAGTTATTTGCATTTATGTAGATTCTCGCTGACCATTGTAACAATTGATTGATACTCTTCCAGTCGTATCAATGTATCCTCAATAATATCACGGAAATTTCTCATCTGTAAGCATGTGTCATTTAATTAAATTGATCAACAAATCAAGAATTTATTTAAACAGCAGGAAACAGATGATACACTCGCCTGATTGTCCCAATCCACTTTGGCATAATTCCCATAATCTTTAACCAAATGTTCGGTCAATTCTGTCGTATGAGAAGATGACATTTTACTAATAATACGTAATTAAATGTACATCAAGATATGTATGTATGTTATTATAGGTTAAAACAAATATTTAAGTATATATGGATAAATGACTTGTTTTATATCAAAAAACAATTGGATATGTTTCAGTAACTTTGACATATTGTTCAAGATAAGTGAAATGTCAAATTATGATCAAAAGCAATTCATTAATCTGAAAATTCGTGTATATTCCTTTCTCTATTATGTCAGCTCCAAGTGTCAATAATAATACTGCGTGTGCGTAATCGATTTATTGCGCGCTAAATTTGAAATCTATTATATTTGAGATGAATTTACAATGACTTGCAGCTAAAATAATCCATGTCCTTCCACAAAATTAAAAGATTAATTAAACTAAAATTTTCGTTTAAAGAAAAATAAATCTAATAAACAAGTTTGAAAAATAAAAAACTTAATTGTATACAATAATAATTTAATATAGGCTTTCTTTAAAAACTTTTTGAAATTTTTTTACTTTTATGTTAAATACTTCTTTAATTAAACAACGTTAAAAGAACTTTGATAAAGTAAAAAATGGTTGTGAATTTAATATCAAAGATTAATAATCTATTTAATGTTATCACAAAGATGATATATAAATAAATATTAAAAATATTAAAATTTATTTTTTTACATCAATAATTTAATTAATAATATTATATACACACACATATATATATATATATATATGTATATAGGTTTTTTACATATGTATAAGAAACATTATGTCAAGTCATATAGTAACTTGCAAAAGGCAAAAAAAATTGTTATAATGTAAGATTATATACATATAATTACTTATTGACTTGACGTTACTTATATGATTTGACAAAATGTTTCTTATACATATGTAAAAAACCTGTAATATTTAACATTAATAATAAATAGATTTTCTTTTGCAAGTATAACAAATTGTTGAAGATCAAGAGGATTCAACAAATGTTTTTAAATATTAAACGAATGCAATTTGTTCCGATTCATGGAATAATGTTTTTGATAAGAAAAACATAAATGAAATATATATTGGCAAAACGGGTTAAATAAAAGCACGAGAGCTGTAAACAATGCGCAAATCTTCTAGATTAAAAATAAATTAATGAACTTTTCGATCCCGCCTTCGGATCATCTTCAGCATATCGACGTAGATGTGTATTTATTACAATAGATGATAAATGTAGACCGGATAAACAATCAAGTCTTTCAGCAGTACTAATAATAAGCACTTAATTATCTTATTGGTCCACCTTGACCTATCAACATTGAGTTGCGTCTTTAGTTCGAAGACGTAACTCAATGTTGATAGGTCGGGGTGAACAAAAAGATAATTAAGTGCTTATTATTAGTGCTGCTGAAGGACTGATTGTTTACCCGCTCTACATTTATCATCTATAGTAATATGAATACACATCGCGTCGATGCATATGCTGAAGATGATACGAAGCGGGATCGAAACGTTCATTAAATTTATTTTTAAGGGAATGCTGGAGTGACTTGAGAAGTCAGTTGTTTTTTTTTTAAATAAAACTATAAAATCTATTTATTGGCTATATAATTGTTTTTTACCTGAATTAGAACGCTTTCTCCTTGTTAATTTAATACTTAAATTTGTAAGGAAAAAGATTTATCAATCTGTATAGTCTTATATATCTTGGTTACATAATTATGAATGCTCTAAGCATATAATATATATATATATATATGTATGTAATAAAGATATATAAGACTACAGATGATAAATCTTTCCTCCTTGTTAATTTTAATACTTAATTTGTACAGGGGCAAAAGATTTATCAATCTGTATAGTCTTATATATCTTGTT